TAGTAGAGACGGGGTTTCACCATGTTGACCAGGATGGTCTCGATCTCTTGACCTCGTGATCCACCCGCCTCGGCCTCCCAAAGTGCTGGGATTACAGGCTTGAGCCACCGCACCCGGCCAAACTTCTGTTTTTCAAGAGTCAACTGTACTTCAGTGAATGCATTTTGCATGATTGCAGTGTACATCAAAATCTTACTATTTGTCTATAATTTTGTAAAAATTTATAATGATTTTTCTGGGTCTACCTTTTAGGAATGAAATGGAAAGACCAGAACATTGAAGATCAGTACAGATACCCCAGGAAAAATCTAAGGTAATTTATACTCACAGGAGAAAGATAGGTCCCTGGAGCTGTTCTGAGAATGATATGAAATTTAATTTAATTTTATTTTATTTTATTTTTGAGACAGTCTCTCTCTGTCACCAGGCTGGAGTGCAGTGGTGTGATCTCAGCTCACTGTAACCTCTGCCTCCTGATTTCAAACGATTCTCCTGCCTAAGCCTCCCAAGTAGCTAGGACTACAGATGTGTGCCACTATGCCCGGCTAGTTTTTTGTATTTTTGTAGAAATGGGGTTTCATCATGTTGTTGAAAACCATTGCAGTTGTACATCTTCATATAACTTTTTGTCAGGCCAGGTACAGTGGCTCACACCTATAACCAGCACTTTGGGAGGCCAAGGTGGGTGGATCACCTGAGGTCAGGAGTTCGAGACTGCCCTAACATGGTGAAACCCCTTCTCTACTAAAAATACAAAAATGCCAGGATGGTCTCGATCTCCTGACCTCATGATCCACCCGCCTTGGCCTCCTAAAGCGCTGGGATTATAGGCATGAGCCACCGTGCCTGGTGACATGAAATTTTGAAAACAACCAAAGAAAATGAACAAGCCTAGCTTAAATTTATTTATCCTTAGAAAATTTTCTCCAAAAACATATACTTAAATGTTCCATAGCTGTTCAGTGTTTGTAAAATAGTTCCCATGGCAACAGTATTAGGAATCCACATATGAATATCGTTGTCTTGAGAACACCTGGGGTCGAGCTATCTTGTACAACATTCCATCCATTCACATTCAAGCAGGACATGAAGCCTACAGTTTACATAGTAATGTTAAAAATATACATCCAATACCTATTAATACCTATAAAATGATTTATAAACCTTTAGTGACATATTTCCCATTTTTTACAGATGTTATATGTTAGAGAGATTTGGTGAAAGTAAAGATGGAAGTCAATGTGGCAAAACATCTAGCCAGATTCAGGATAGTATTGTGAACAAGAACACTTTTCCTGAAGTAGATCCATGTGAAAGCAGTATGTGTGAAGAAATCGTCGTGGGTCATTCATCCCTTAATTGCTACATCAGAGTTGATGCTGGGCACAAACCACATGAATGTGGAGAGAAGCCAGATACACATAAACAGTGTAGGAAAGCCTTCAGTTACCACAACTCATTTCAAACACCTGAAAGTCCTCACACTGGAAAGAAACCATATGATTGTAAAGAATGTGGGAAATCCTTCAGTTCTCTGGGAAACCTTCAAAGACACATGGCAGTGCAGCGTGGAGATGGACCTTATAAATGTAAGTTGTGTGGGAAAGCCTTTTTCTGGCCCAGTTTATTAAATGTGCATGAAAGAACGCACACTGGAGAGAAACCGTATGAATGTAAGCAGTGTTCTAAAGCCTTTTCTTTTTACAGTTCCTATCTAAGACATGAAAGAACGCATACTGGGGAGAAACCATATGAATGTAAGCAGTGTTCTAAAGCCTTCCCTGATTACAGCTCTTGTCTAAGACATGAAAGAACTCACACTGGAGAGAAACCCTATACATGTAAACAATGTGGGAAAGCCTTCAGTGCTTCCACTTCCCTTCGAAGACACGAAACAACTCACACTGGAGAGAAACCCTATGCGTGTAAGCAATGTGGGAAGGCATTTCATCATCTGGGAAGCTTTCAAAGACACATGATAACACACACTAGAGATGGACCTCATAAATGTAAGGTATGTGGGAAAGGTTTTGATTGTCCCAGTTCACTGCAAAGTCATGAAAGAACTCACACTGGAGAGAAGCTCTATGAATGCAAGCAGTGTGGGAAAGCATTATCTCATAGCTCAAGCTTTCGAAGACACATGACAATGCACACTGGAGATGGACCTCATAAATGCAAGGTATGTGGGAAAGCCTTTGTTTATCCCAGTGTATTTCTAAGACATGAAAGGACTCACACTGCAGAGAAACCCTATAAATGTAAACAATGTGGCAAAGCCTACCGTATTTCCAGTTCCCTTCGAAGACATGAAACAACTCATACTGGAGAGAAACCCTATAAATGCAAATGTGGGAAAGGCTTTATTGATTTCTATTCCTTTCAAAATCACAAAACAACTCATGCTGGAGAGAAGCCATATGCATGTAAGGAATGTGGGAAAGCATTCAGTTGTTACCAATACCTTTCTCAACATAAAAGGACTCACACAGGAGAGAAACCTTATGAGTGTCAAACATGTAGGAAAGCCTTCAGTCATTTTGGTAACTTAAAAGTCCATGAAAGAATTCACTCTGGAGAGAAGCCATATGAATGTAAGGAATGTGGGAAAGCATTCTCTTGGCTCACTTGCTTTCTACGACATGAAAGAATTCACATGAGAGAGAAATCCTATGAATGTAAACAATGTGGTAAAGCCTTCACTCATTCTCGTTTCCTTCAAGGACATGAAAAAACTCACACTGGAGAGAACCCTTATGAATGTAAGGAATGCGGGAAAGCATTTGCTTCTCTCAATTCCTTGCATAGACATAAAAAGACTCACTGGAAAGATACTCTGTAAATGTATGGAATGTGGGAAAGCATTTATTTATTTTATTTCAGAAATTTGGAAGAAACACATTGGAGATAAACCCTGTGAATGTAAGCACTTTGGGAAAGCCTTAAGTAGTTTCAGTTTCTTTCGAATACAGTTATCCTTTGATACATGCTGGGTATTGGTTCCAGCACTCTGTGAGCCATTTCAAGTCCCTTTTATAAAATGAAATATTTGTATGTAACCTACCCACATCCTCTTGTATACTCTCAATCATGTCTAGATTACTTAAAATACCTCATGCATTGTAAAAGCTATGCAAATAGTTGTTCTATTGTATTGTTTAGGGAATCGTGATAAGGAAAAGAGTCTATGTACTTCAGTACAGATGCAGTAATTGTGAGCCTGTCGACATAGTATGTGTCAGCCAGACCATTAAAGTTTCTTTCAGCCCTCACATATCGCTCTTGTTTAATGTGTTAACGCTCACCAAAATCCTGGGTCTTCTCTCTTGATAACCCAAGTGTAATGATTATAATGATGATTATTCTGTGGTACCTAATGTTTTGATGTGTTGCGATGACTAAATGTATGGCACAGTGGGTAAGTAGTGAGACATCAGGTTAACTTGAATCTTGACAGGCCATCAGGACTATCATCTATGTCGGAAGAACCAAGTTGCAATTATAGATGTGGACTCATTTCATGAGGCTACATAATACTAATGTCAGGATCTGTTTGGCTTGAGGGCTGAAGATCTGTAACCATTAAATGTTCCATCTTATTTGCAGACGCTTAGTTATAGGAAGCTAGTTCTTCTTTTCCTTTCCTTCACAAAAAATCTTGCAGTGTTTATAGGCATGTTGTTAATTTCTCAGGTGAAATGAAAGCTTCGTTTCATTGTAGGATCTTTGAGGATCATACCTCTTTTTCACCTTTGTCTACTGAAAAACTGGCAAACTTTTCAAGTGTCCAAATCAGTGAATCTTTGTCTTCTAAATTTTCTGATCATCATCATCTGTAGTGGATTCAGCAGACTTTGAAGTTTTTAGTTGGTAAGGGTTTCTCTTTGCTCCTGTGTGTGTCATTTCAGATAGCGCTCCTCACCAACTTCTTTTTGCAACGTTTCAAATATCCTTTTTTTTTTTTTTTTTTTTTTTT